AGTCTTTTAGATCGGGAATGAAGGGTCAAGATCCAGCATGTTCATAGAGAAGGTAACTTCGCGGCGGACCACATGGCAAGCTTAGCGGCGTACGAATCGGTCGGACTTCATCGCATTTCGAGTCCACCCACTGGTTTAGGTGATTGGCTTCAACATGATCTCATCGGGGTCTCTTACCCCAGGCGTGTTCTAGCTTAAGCGTCTCTCTAAGGCCTTGGCCTCCTTCTTTGTACCAAAAAAAAAAGAAATGCTACAGTCTCATTACGGAACTATTATGTCGGTGTTTGTAACTGTTAGATTATCATGTAATCGTGAAAATAGTTAATCTGACGATTACAAAGTGGGACGAAACGAAAACACAAAGTCACTTTTTCTACGCAATTAAAAAGTTGCTTTCCAATACTACCACTATTTAGACGATCTTAAAAGTGATCCCACAAAGCACACTCCTTACAGAGCGGCGAATTTTAGCTCATACAGTGTTCCCCAACAGATTCTGAAAATGGCGGCTTCAGCCTCGTGGACCGGCCTCAAACCCTCTCCCCCTTCCGCAGCGGCCTCCCGGCTTCTCCCAACTCTCCACTCGGCCACCTTCGGCCCCACCACCACCCCCTCATTCCGCCGGCGAGATGGCCAGCCCCGCCGCTTCGTCGTCCTCGCGATGGACGCGAAGCCGACGATTCTGGTGGCGGAGAAGCTTGGAGACGCCGGGTTGAAGCTCCTGAAGGAGTTCGCGAACGTGGACTGCTCGTACAGCCTCAGTCCCGAGGAGCTCCGCACCAAGATCTCGCTCTGCGACGCGCTGATTGTGAGGAGCGGGACCAAGGTCAGCCGTGAGGTGTTCGAGTCCTCCGCCGGGAGGCTGAGGGTCGTCGGAAGGGCTGGCGTCGGGATCGACAACGTGGATCTGGCGGCGGCGACTGAGCACGGCTGTCTGGTGGTGAATGCGCCGACCGCCAACACTGTGGCGGCGGCAGAGCATGGGATCGCGCTTCTTACTGCCATGGCGAGGAACATTGCTCAGGCCGATGCCTCTGTCAAGGCTGGTTAGTTAGTTGATTCTTTATCTTTACGCGTACCTACACCTTAGTGCTATATGATGTTTTGTTTTGGGTGTCTGAGACATTTCGTCGAACAGGTTGTTCCATTGGTTCTTATGGGTATAATTTATAGTTGAATTTTGGTATGGCAATTTAATTGAAAACGCAGGGTCCGCTTGTATGGTCGATTCCATACCCGGGTCACTTGATTCTTAGATTTTGCTGCAGATGTGAAGAGATGACACCCAGATTTTTTATAATTAAGCTGAGAGGTTAAAGATACTGTAGTTTAATCTGGAAATCAG